CTTGGTCTAAGATGCTGACAGTTTCCCAGTTGAAACTATGGTTAAGTCTGTCCATGTGTTGAGAGATTAAGGCATTTTCATCGTGTCTTCTGACTGCTAGTTGGTGTTCATGAATGCACTCTGCTAGCCTTCTGCCCTACATAGTGGTTGTACAGTCCTTACACTGTATGCTGTAGATGACTCCTGTTTTTTCTTCTTGGGCTACTGTGTCTTTTGGTGTACTTAAGATATTTTGGAGGGCTTTAGTGGTTAAGGTTTTGGAGGGCTTAAAATGTGAGGGGTTTTTTATTTGATAAAACCACTGTGCAGAATCCTAACATAGTCTTCCCTGTAACGCATCCAGGAGTCTGGGGATCCCAGAGAATGTTTTAGTCAACTTAACTGCTGCATTTAAGTTATCAGTTACAACTGGTAGAAAAAGAACATTGTCTTAACAATTACATCTGTAAAATTAATTGAACTACGCTCCATCTTTTCAGCAGAGTAAGAGACTATGCACAAGGGAAAAATCAGATTTTCTTGCAAATGTGGCCAAAAGCTTATGTAAACTATGAAATTAAGTATATTTTATTTTTGATGGTAGATCATCTCAAAACTCTATATAATTAGCAGAGGGAATAAGGTAATATGAAGCTGACAAATATTAGTAGATTTGTGGCTTTGAACTCTTAACTCTGCCTACAGTTGTTCTCAACTTTTCTTCCTTTGTCTTTTCCTAAGTGGGATATAATAAACAGCAAGAGGAAAAAACTACAGAGATAAAAATGTCAAGAAATGAAGTTTTCAACAATATCCCTTTTGCATTCAACTGTCACCCATCTGGCCTCTACAACTGTCCTTCATAAACCAAATTCATGGGCCTGCTATCAAGATAAATGTGTGCTTTCTATAACCTACTGAGATTCCACAGCAGAGACATATTATGGTACAAAGAGGTCACTAAAACATTAACACGTTAAAAGCCACTCTCAGGATTGATTGATGGCCAAGGTAAAGGCAGTCAAGAAAATGTATATAAGTCATAATAACTTTTTCTGTAATATAAGAAATATTTAAATCTTAACCTACCTCTGCCAACACTACAATTATGATAAGTTCAGATTTTGAATCTGGGAAAAGTGCATTTACTTGAGGTGACATGCCAATCAGGATACAGTTGGTAATAACTGAGATTACAGTCATGGTTTGGAAAGCCAACTAAAAGAAACAAGGAAATAAAAAAATCAAATTTATTCATTACAATCCAATTATGTTGTGATATTCTTTCATTTTATATTAATTGATATAATTACCTACAGATTGAGATGAGAATCTGAATAATTACAACAGTGCTATACTTCTGTTGCTTGTGGTGCTCTGGTTGCCAGTTGGCTTCTCTATTTATTTATTTTATTTATCAAATTTGTATGGCCGCACATCTCACAAAAAAGTGGGCCTGGCTGGCATACAACATTTAATTTAAAAAATCAATAAATATATAAAAACATTCATTATACGAACTATGAAAAAGCACAAGAACAAGAGAGGATGATGTTAGCCGCAATAAGGGAGCCACTGGAAGATCTTCCTGGTCCCCTGAGACCCCCCCAGCCCTGATGGCATAGCCAAGGCTTGAGGGACTTGCGGAATGTTAAAAGGAATGGAGCTAACTTCACTTCTGGGGAAAGAAGATTCTATAAGGTGGGTGCCATAGCAGAGAAAGCCTGCCTCCTAGGACCTACAAAATGTAGTTCCCTGACAGATGGGACCCGCAGCATGCCTTCTCTGCCAAATCTGAGGGATAGGCAGATATAATAGGGGAGAGGCAATCCCTCAGATAGCCCAGCCCCATGCCATAAAAGGCTTTAAAGGTTAAAACCAGCACCCTGAATTGGACTTGGAAGCAAATTGGCAACCAATGCAGCTCGCAGAGTAGAGGTATAATGTGTGCCATTCCAGGGGCACACATAACTGCCCATACCGCAGAGCCCCCCAATCCAGGAACGGGTACACAACACGAAGCTGTGAAAAGACCCTCCTAGCCACAACTGTCACCTGCTCTTTGAGCAGGAGTCATGGGTCCAGGAGTACCCCCAGATTGCACACTGGGTCTATCTTGGGCAGTGCCACTCCATCCAGCACTAAAGATATCATAGTCCTAGAACCAGAAGGCCCCAAAACCCAAAGTCACTCAGTCTTGCCACGGTTCAGCTGAAGTCTGTTGTTCCCCATCCAGACCCTCACAGCATTACTTAATTTGCCAGGGGCAGAGATGTATAATTGGCTATCATCAGCGTATTGATGATACTTCACCACACCGTGATGGATGAGCACACCCAGCAACCTCACGTAAATATTAAATAGGAGAGGGGAGCGCACCGAACCCTGTGGCAATCCATATAATAGGGGCCAAGGGCAGGATCTCTCCTCTCCAACTACCACCAACTGGAATTGGTCCTGGAGAAAGGAAGTGAACCAACACAGCACCATGTCGATCCAGAAGGATACCACGGTCAATGGTACTGAAAGCTGTAGAGAGGTCAAGTAGGGCAAAGATGGATGCACAAACTCCATCCCTCCCTCGCCAGAGATCATCCAAAAGCGCAACCAATGCTGTTTCCATCCCATACCCAGATCTGAATCCCAACTGAAAGGGGTCCAGATAATCCACTTCTTCCAAGGTCCTCTGAAGCTGCTGCACAATCACTTTTTCAATCACCTTCCCCAAAAAGGGGAAGTTAGATACTGAACAAAAATTGTCCAGTATAGTGGGGTCCAGCAATGGCTTCTTGTGGAGGAGGCAAACCAAAGCCTCCTTAAGAGGCGGAAGAACAACCCTCTCACTCAAGGAAGAATTAACTATTGCTAGAACCCACTCACACAACCCCCTTCCCTGGGCCACCTTACCTAGCCAGGAGGGGCATGGATCTAAAGAGCAGGTGGGGAGCTCACAGCCCTAAGGACACTGTCCACTTCTTCAAGTCCAACAGGTTCAAACCATTCCCAGATAACAGGGCAAGACCCCAGGCATCTCCTCCAGACTTGCAACAAGACCGGTGTCTGAGAACAAATCTGACTGTCTGACAGATGCTGAGCAAATTCCTCCGCATCACCCTGCAAGAGGTTCTCTAGCCCCCTTTACCCAGGAGGGCTCATGTCACCTGAAACAGGGCCGCTGAATGGCTATCTGCAGATGCAATAAAAGTGGAGAAGTGATGACGCTTCACTGCCCTTATCGACACTAGGTAGGCCTTAATAGAGGCTATAACCTGTAATTGGTTGAATTTGTCCCTCATTGAGCGCCAACAACGCTCTAGTCATCTCTCCTCTCCTCAGGTCTTTCGTAAACCATGGGGAGTGCCGGGATCCCCGAGAGGGGAAAAGTCGCATGGGTGCAATCCAATCCAAAGCCTCAGCCGCTCCTTATTCCAAGTGGCACCCAAGGCTTTGGATGGACCATGCAGCAGACCAGCAGGAACAACCCTCAGCTCCCTCTGGACCCATCCAGGTCCATCAGTCGCCGGGGGGAGCAGACCAATCTAATGCATAATTCTCAGTGCAATTCCAAGTGCTAGTTATAACCTATAAAGCCTAAGTGGCTTCTGGCCACATTACCTAAAGAACCATTTTCTCCAGAAAGAATCTACCTGCCCTGTTTAACTGACCAAAGAGAATGCTCTGGATTCCTCCTCCATGTCAGGTTTCCAGGCTTTTTCAATGGTAGCCCAAGTTCTGTGAAATATATCCCTCCTGACATCTGTAGGGCCCTCAGAGTCTTATTTTTCCTAATGCCATGAAGATCTGACTCTGGAATCTGAGATCATGCCATGGCCTTGTAATTTTGATGCATTTGCATCTTCTTCTTTCTCTTATTTACAGTGTTGTTTTTTTCATTCCAGCATTAGCTTCCCAAGTTCTTTGGAGATCTTCGCAATGCTAATAACACAAAGTTTAGCAAGCATTAATTATTTATGCAGATTACCTGCCATACACCTATATTTGCAGCAGGCTCTGAAAATGGGCGTTTAAAAACAGTGCACATTTTTAAGGCATCGGAATACATCTCAGTGATGTTGTTTAGAACAGCAAAAACAGCAGCCAAAGGGTAGACACACGAAAAAAGGCTCACATAACCAAACTGTAAGAACAACTCCAAATAATCATCAAAAGTGCCCTGGAAGGAAAGACAATACTTCATTAATAAGTTTCAGATTAGAAGCACTTTTATAGCTCCTGGCAAATCTATGTATATTGCTAACTAAATTAGAAAAATTAACATGGAGAGTGTAGGTGGGAAATGAAGAGAATAAGATTAAAGTGAGATTACCCATTTTAATTTCTGTTTGTTTGAAGTCTGATTAATCCTACTTATGCATTCATTTCACATGGAACATAAGTACCATGAACATAGCAAGAGAGCATGTGAACATCATAGCAGCATGCCCAATTTGATAATCTCGTCTCTTAAAGTAATGCTATATTCAACACATTTTCTATTCCACATTTGTTTACTATGTTACTATCATTATTATTGTGCACAAACCTAAATTAAAGGCTCTTAAAGAGCTAATGACAAAAATGGCCTGAACAGGAAAAATGAAATTTTCCACCAAATGAAAACCATTGGGCAGCTCTTCTACTGTTTGTGTAAAAAAAAAAAAACTGAAGAAACAACAGGAAAACACACAAATATTACAAATGGAATATTCACATTTTGGACTAATGAGTGCATGTATTAATATTTACTTGCCAGGTAAAGACTGGGCATGTAAACTTAACAAAAGCAGGTTAACTAGATGGAATTTTGGCTTTAAAAAGTGTAACAGCTATTATATTCCAACTGAATTCTCCTGGCATATCAAAATGCAAGCGTTTTATAATCTACAGCTCATAAATTAGATTAGTTTTAGGCAAGAGTTAACACAAACATAGCCAGGCATTGTTTTATAGAGATACATGTTTCTGTAATTTTGATAATCACCGACTGTAAATAAACTTGAATTAACTCTAATACGATTTAAAAAAGGAGAGGACGTAGCTTACCGAGTAAGTATCCATTCCTTTTTCCAGATTAACTTGTTCAAATAAAGACATATCAGTATCTATTTCCAGTGCTTTCACCTTTTTCTTTACTGTTTTATTCCTGCTTTTTTGGAGCCAATAAGGCAGTGCAGCTTCCACAAACTGATTAAGGACTTGTGAAGTTATTAGTAAAGTTGCCAAGCTCTTTAAGAAAATTAAACAAACCAAAATTATGACAGTGCTTCAGCATTTTTTACGTTTGGTTGATACTGTTTTTCGTGTTGTTTTTAATGTGCTGTTAGCAGCCCAAAATCGCATCTGCCAGATGGGCAGCCATATATATCAATTTAATAAATAAACAGATCTTTAGAAATATTATAACTAATGAAATGATCAAGTGAGTTCTAGCAAAGAGTGCTGATATAAACATTTCATAATATATTGAATTAGTCCAGGTTTTTGTATTGAGGTTGATACCAAGAGATATGTGTAGCAGTAATAATATTAATAGATCATTTGCAGATCTGATATCAATTATCTTCTATCAGCCTTACTGAATTAATCATTCTCTGCACAAAATGTCAATTAGAAGACAATGAAAAAATGCTTCAAGTTAAAATATTATTACTGTAACACTCTCTTATAAGCAGGGCTTACTTTAAATTCCATTACACCACTTTTACTGCTTCTCCCCCATTCATGATGTCAGTTCTAAAGCCTGAGATTTGCATATATTTTAAATGTTTATATTTTATGAAAGCACTGAACCCCACATAAGTTCTGTGTGAACTTCGATGTACTGTGGCAGAAATAAACTTAGCAAATCTTAACTTAAAAACAGGAGTGCTGGCAAAAATGCAATTATTTTCATGGAACATTGTTTAGTAAATAAAGAGCAGGCCTAGAAACTTGACATAAGCAAGCTCATACTAAAACTGCCTTTATAACAACACACTTTAGTAGTTCTTGCAGTGAGCAAACAAATCAGTGAAACCGCAAACATACGTTTTTTTAATGATGGGAAAATAGTCTTAGGAATTTCCTATCTCAAACCATTCAGCATTGGGCAAGCTACCTAAACTAATTCTGGAATGGGCTTCCAAAATTGTAATTATTTGAATAAGTCTGATATAAATTAACTACAGAGTTATAAATTAATCAGATAATTGAAAAAATTATGCAACTCTAATTACTGTATGAAGAAAATCACATAAATTGCTTTTTTAAAACAATTTTTTCCACAAAACTCACCTGTCTCAAAAGTTTCATGTCAACTATGACAAATGCAATGTAGAATAAAGAAGCAAAGCAGTTTAAGAAGTTGAACTGCAAAAGAATCAAAATTAATTAAAAAGGCATATTATCAGTATAATCTGAGATGAGTAAGGTATGATTCATATGACATAGCCAACACATGGAGGCCTCCTCCCATATAACATGGTGTTGCTGTCAGGTAGTATTTAATTGATTTGGTTATTTGGAGGAAGAAGCTTAATGCAGAAAAATCTTTCTATGAACTACATGTTCCCAAGAATTACAATTCTAATCCAATTAGACAACTACAATCCAGATTATACAGTGAACGTATGTTGTCCTATTTTTAATTATGGTACAACCAGGAGAAAACAAGTTGGATTATTAACTACTGATTAAAATTAATTGCCTGTGAAGAAGGTAACCATTTCTAAAATTAATTGGCTCACTCTCTGCTTATACCAACCATTCTTCCTAAAGCATAAACCACATGGACAAACACACACATTCCTTTCCATTTGTCCAACAGCAAAAGTGAATAAGGAAGAGAAGAAGGAGGATTGAAGGAAAGGGTAGCTGTACTGGGAAGAGAAGGAAAGCAAAAGAAAGGGAGGGGAGGGGAGGGGTAGAAGTCTTGTTACAAAACCAATTCAAATTCACTGGGCAAACAGCAAACAACAATTAAACTTGCAGGCATCCATGCTTTTTGGAATGGGGATCTGGAGCCATTTGCATTTGCACCTACTTGCTTCTTTCCATAGCATCTTTGGTTTTTTCAGCAAAAGCTACCTCACCCCCACTTCCAAAATCACCGGTAAAAACCCAATAAATACAATACCTATTCACAAACATGCTATATTTTTTGTATCTGGTTATATTTCTTTTTTAAATACAGATCAAAATCAACTAGAAAGACCACCATAATAAAAACCAAAAAAGGATTTAAAAATAAACAGACATGTGCATTTTTAGATATAGCACAAGCTTAAATATAAAAACTTTGTATCATAGATTTAACCTATCAAAAATCAGCAAGACAGAATCCTTTTTTACTCATGTGGATAAAGCAAAATGACAAAACGAAAAGACCACTGGCTATGTAATCTCTTAAGGCATTATGTAGAACAGTTTTTACTTGATTGGAAAGCAAAGATTTTCTCCCAAATAATTATCTGTGAATTGGAGGAGTGTCATATGCACATTTGAGGAAGGGAATTTTTGTCTGGGTTTATAATTTTTTTCTAACTACTTTTCCAGGGCGGGGCATTGTCTTCAATTCAGGCTCATCTTTCTTTCAGATAAATACAGTCATAAAAATACTGATTGATGCTGCTTCTGCATATACAGGATTCTCAGCTGGCTATATGAATTGATTTATTTGAAAAAGATTGCTTCTCAAATGGTAAGTCTGATCTGTGGTGGTCAAGTCATAAGTATTTACTTCACTTCCCAGATCACATCAATCTTTCCTGGAAACAAGATTTTTAAAACCAGCTTTAGAGTTTTATTCAGCATTACCTTCCCTAATAACCATTGGTATAGGAAAAGATATAAATAAAAAACAAGTAATATATTGCATGAAAATGTTAACCAGTACTGATGGTTCCATTATTAGCTTTGAGTTGTTTTTTTTAGTTGCAACAAAGAGTTAAGCATAGTCATTTTAGGTTCTCTTTAAAATACCAGTCAGTATCATTTCAGTAAATCAAATCCACTTTTTATTCTAACTTGAAGCAATATCAACATACAGTTTGAACTGTAATATTTCACAAAGTATAGCCAAATAATGGAAGATTTTAGAACTTACATTTCCTAAACATGGAATCTGTGACAGTCCAGATATTGTTGGATCCCACCTCTTAACAGTTATGCAACTGCCAGGAGAGCTACAAATTCACTATTCCATCCTAAGGGGACATTTTAAATAACCCATTGCAAATTCTGATCCTATCACAATCTGACTTTCATACTGCAATGTTATGAATATAAATGTGGAAGTTTCACTGAGCCTAGCAGAAGTTACTTCAGAAAAACAAGCTTAGGAAGATTCTGTTAGGGTATCAGATAATGGACACAGACCTTTGGAAAGTCTGCAGTTAAAATAGTCCCAACACAGAAGTCTGTATTGCATTTCAAAATATAAAGCACTTTTGTACATACATAGGATGCTCACAGTCTTGGTTGCAATTTATCAACTGAGTTACAAGCAGGGCTGCTCAGATTTTCTGTAGTAGCTTTTTGGGAAGACTTTGTGAGGCTAAAACAGAAAGTAAAATTGGAAACTCTGTCCTACATCTGTGCAGAAGTCCTTTTTGACTGAAAACAGCAATCTTTGGAGTCAAATTCATTTCAATTGGCTTTCTGCAGAGATATTACCAAACATAATTCAAATGTTTCAATTATACCTACCACCAAGACTTTCAAAATTAAGTGATTCTGATATGAAGACTCCAATCTATGGTTTTCTGAAATGTAATTAAAAATTGCAATTAGTGAAAATATTAGATACCGTTTAGAGTAAGTGCAATATTTTGTCTTTCAATGACCATAATAGGAAATAAAAAGTATGAGAAATTGCAGTATTTATATTAAAATACAGAATGTTTATATCACATGTATGCTTGATTACACTGAGACAAAAACATGAAAATAAACTACTACAACTAAGTACAGTAAATGTTATTACTGGTCTATCAAAATACTGAGTTAAGCACGATTTTATTCTCACTAAGCTTTTCTATTCATATTACTTTGAGGTTTACAAACTTATTCATAAAATATTTAAACAAAACATTAAAAACATTACATTTAAAGTTAACTTCTCTTTATTAATGAGGTTGTCAATTATTAAAGTTTGTTATCTGACTTTCAATCAACTGCCCAGAAAGTCTTAATCAAGGGAACTTTCTAAGAATATTGAAGCAATAGCTGTTTCCAAATGTAAGAAAACTTTTTTCTTCCTTTTTTTTATTATAGTGATTTCAAATATGAAACTGCCTAGATTTTAAGAAGATGCACTCTTAATTTTTGTCATCTAGAGTCCATACTACTAAAAAGAAAAACTATATTGAGCTTAAAAATGGTCTGCTGATCCATATGTGAGCCTTGGACTAATCCCTTAATAAAGTGTGACTAAAGTAATGTTAGATTAAGCTATTTTAGAAGAAAAAGACATTTTAAATATAATTAGGTATGAGGGAACTAGCAGGAACAGGGCAATTACGCTGGCAGTAAGGCCTTCAGTACCAACCATGTTGATCAAGTGGGATTGGGGATTTTAGGATACAGCTATGTAATGCAATGTAGCTATACATTAATTTAATTAATTAAAGCTTTTACCTTGATCTTATTTAAATTCAAATTATATTGTATTCCAAAACTTTGAGACTCAAATCAGTTTTTACCTTGCCAACTTCTAGAAAGATTAGAATGAGATAGTAACTTGCCAAAGGCAGTTCACTTCATAGGTGAGTAGGTACCTGAATCTCAGTTTTCTATCATTCTATATTCAAACTCTGCATCATAAGTATAAGACAAGATTCAATTCTCCCAAATCTATCAGATTGCTCAAATCTTACTTTCATCAGTAATGAACTGATATTCATTTCCAGATAATAAAGAAGTCGGTATTGGCTTTACATTATTGAAACTAACAGGACAGTGTGGGGTTCTTGGATATCAACTACCAGAAAAAAAAAATTCCATAGATATCTTAGCTGTCACAAACAAGAGCACTGAATTTCAGTATTTTTAGCTTAGTAATTTTTTGATTAGCTCTTAAAAAAAACAGATGAAATAATATAGCTGATTCTTGTTATTCACGGATTCTGTATTTGTGGATTCGCCTACTTGCTAAAAATGTATTTATTTGTACCTGCAAAATCAATACTTGCGGCACTTTCAAGGTCATTTGTGGACATGCAGAGTGGCGAAAAAACACACATTCCCAGCTGAGGTTTCAGTATTTGCTAATCCAACGTTCACAATGACTTTATTGAAGGCAACTGCCACGAATAATAAGAATCCTCTGCAGTTACAAATGTAAGATGCCTTCACACTAATTGTCTTATTGCAGGTTCTATCTTGGCATCTAACTTATGACAGTTTTGCTATCATATGACAGTGGAAATAATTGTATTATAGAGCATTTTAATATAATAGTAAAAATAAACAAAGATGTATGGAAAAAGATGGAAGAAAATAATCTTACCCCATGAGGTCAAGAACTCAGCAGCATATCTATAAATTCGATTTAGAATTTCAATCACAACAGCATAAATTATGCTGGGCATGTACAATATCAAGCCGCTTAATTCATTTTGGCTCTCTTCATAATATAAACGTGCTTGGAATTCCAAGTCAAAATAAATCATCATTATGTGAAGTGAGAGGTAGAGACAAAGGCACACGAATGGGACTGAAACAAAATAAATCCGTAACTTTCTTTTGAAACTAGAGTATATGGGTTCCTCTCTGCCAGTCACAGGATTGATACCTAAAACCCCATGAAATCCTGGTCTGGGTTCCTCAAACTGTCGCTTCATCATCAATGTTCCCCATCTGTAAGCCATAACAGCACAACATCGTTTCCAGAGTTCAAGGATAACAGTAGACCAAAGCAGATTGAATGCTGCAAACAGCACATACTTATCATAATCTTCCCAATCAAAAACATAATAAGGGATCCCAATGATTGCCATTGGAATCAAAGCAAATGTGATATATTCCAAAAAGGCAAAATAGAAAGCAAGTGTTTCACCAAAATAACAGCGAATTTCATCTGTAGGAGGAAAAAAATATATAAATGTCATATTCAGAAAATCAGATTTGTGCCTCAGTAGGTAGCAATACCTAACCAACCTTGCTCAGGCCCAGAAGCTAAATAGGGTTAGTCATCAAGGATTACAGATATTTTATATAGCATATAAGGTATTTATGAATCTTCATCTCACTTTTCCCCTAACATGCCAAGCCAAGCCGAGCCACCCCCCACCCCAAAAAAAGCAGATTAGGGCCTTATTTACAAAGTCATATTGCTCAGTCCCAGGTATGTATTGCGGCTGTCAGGCATATATAATTTCAAGCACTCTCCCACTATTTAGTATCTGTAGCAAAAATCCTTCATTTCTTTGTGTAAAATGGCCATTTTTATTAGTTCATGCTGATCAAATTACACTAAAAAAATACAAAAGAATATGCCAATACCCATATGTGGTATCAGGAAAGGGTATCACCCAAATCAAATAAGCCAGTATTCTCTGATTTTGCTTCCTACACACAGACGCTATATGGTCTTGAATTTGTCTTACGGTTTGTGAATCTGAAGTCCCTAATAATTACATAAACCATGCAAATCTGAGTCAAGAAGAGACCTCCTTGTTCTTTTCCAGTCAGTAATGTTAACTTACCCAAAGGCTGGTATCTAATTTTCAGTTGTTCATACCATATATGTCCAAGTTTCTTTAAATGGTCTGTGTCATGAAGTGGAAAAATCTGAAGTAGAATGCCACTCGTTGTTAGCCTTCGCACTGAAATTAAAAAATGTTAAGTTCTGAAGTTTTATAGTTTTATAAATACAAGAAACATCCTTTCCCAGCCTGAATTTTCAGATACACAATATACTGTACCAGAAGACTATTTGAACACAAGTTTAAAATCCTTATTTATTATTAAAGCCCCTTTTCCCAATCTCATACAAGACTACATATATCACCAAACATTCCAGTAGTAATATACTGGTGTAGGCTTTCACAGCTGGTATCTGCTGGGCAGTGTTGGGCTTCAGGGTTTAGTGACCCTGGTCTAGAACTGTCACCAACCTGCACCAATCAAAAACCAGCTCAGCTAAAGGCCAATCAAAAGTCAGGATACCTGGCTATAAAGACAGGAGCCCAGTCAGTCCCTGTTCAGTTGCCTGTGGTCTGTGTAGCAGATCACTTAGCCTCTGAAGATGCCAGCCACAGGTGCTGGGAGAACATCAGGAAATCTGTTCTCTGCACCACAGTCACGAAACCCTGAAGTCTAATACTGCCCATTCCAGCAGTAGTTATCTTAACAAGCATTTAGGACAGCAATTGAGGGGTGGGGAGGGGTTCCTCTTCATTGAATGTCTTCAAACAGAGGTGGCATAACTATTTGTTAGGCCTGTTTTAATTTGGAATCTTGCACTGGATGCAGTGTAGGGAATTGATGACTTAAACAACTCCTTTCAATTCTGTGATTCTAAAGAAACCATAAATATTCTAGAACCTCATCCAAACTGTCATGCATGATAATGACAAGTCAATATTGACAAGACAATTCTTATCATACTGTATGCTGCAGATATTTATCTCTCTAAATTTAAAACTGAAGCCTCTCTATTATGATTGATTAGCTCACAAATGAGCTCTGCAAGCATTTAAAGTTGCATCTTTCATATCTTTCAAAGTTTATCGCTCAATGCAATTCTGTTCAAAAATCAGATGACATTTATCATTTCATCAAAAACTGAAAAACTGCACCGATACTATCAGTGAAATGGAAGGAAACAATTTGAGTATATATTTAGGCTGTTAACACTGCAATTTGAGTATCATAATTAGATTTTCTTATTGCAAGACTAAACGTTAGATTCCAAATTTTTAAAAAATCAACAATTGCTTTTAGGAAAAATGGAGTTAAATGATCTAGTCAAATATGAAGCAAAGTTTCCACATTACAATTTTGTCTAACATTGTTTCTCTTTTATTGTCAACAAAACTGCACAAACACATTCCATCTGTAACTCCAGAATGGGGGAGTAAGGGGCCCCTGATTCAGCCTCAAGCAACATTGTTCATATCTGAAACTATGGCAGGTGTACATCGGCGTTTCTTAAGCTAACTATATAAATAACACATAACCAAAGCAAACAGTACTTACCATAGCAACACTTATACAATGTTCTAAAATTAAGAAACATATACTTTCATATACTAATTTTTAAATATAATTGCCTATGCAATGCAAAATTAACAAGTTACTCACTAATTGACTTTCCTGGATAAAGCTTTGCCTGAGGATAGCCAGGGATCATCTTTTCATCTTTAGCTCTCAAATTTTCAAGTTCATGTTTGATAATGTATTGACATTCTGCCATTGTAAGGAAATTATAATTGTCCTCTAAACAAAATAGAAATGTATTGTTGAAAACTAGATTCTTATTTTGAAAGGTTCTAAGCAAAAGTAATTACATCGGGATTTTGAAGACAAGGGGAAGCAAAGGGATTCTTGATGAAGTATCTAAGATACTAAAAGTAGCATGCTGTATTCAGAAATAAGCTCTACAATATTCGGTGGAACTTACTTCCAAATTTGCATAAGTCTATAATCAAAAACACCCTCCACTTTCCTCAAATAGTTAACTATTAATGAAGATCTATTTATTAAAAGTACAAATTAAAACCTTTTAAAAATTAATATTTAATATGAATACTGAATACATTTTACAATCATAGAAAACTTAAGCCTAAGCTTAACATTTAAGCATATTTACATGCCAAGTTCAGAAGAGCAGACATTAATAGAAATGCTGGTATTCTGAGCAAAATTTATCCATTGACCTTTTACTGTTTATTTATTTAAAAACAGGTTTAGCTCTTTTTTTTGTTAAAAATTAACTACTGAAATGGTTAACAGTGTGATTTCTCAATAGCAAGAAACTTAAAATTATTTCACAATTAATTCTATCTTTTTGTACCTGCAAAATCTTTGAAATTTGTTCTAGATGTATATGTAAACGATCTCATTGTATTATCATTACATTCTTTAACCAATCCTACAGATTCAGCTCCTAGAAGCAGCCTTAAGTGAGATGCTCCAACAAGATATATGTTCTTGCTTCCCTCTATCTGTTTTCCTTCCTCCACCAAGGGTTTAACCAAAAGCTGAGCTCCTTCAAAAATGAAAACAAATTAAGTAAATTATTTAAGTTCATATGAATAGGATGTATCAGTTATGTACATAGCATATGCTAAATTATAAACAGTGGGAATGACAGCTATGTTCACAAAACATGCTTTGCTAAAATTAAACAGATCACACTGTGATTTCATTTACTGGGTCACTCCTGTCATGAAATTCTTAGATTAAAGGCATTACTGAATTAGGGAAGATTAGAAATGAGAAGGCCCAGAGAGAAAAAAAAGAAAAATCAGAGGAAACTGATTAGATTAGAATATTTCCTAATATTTTCAAGTTAAATTATACATGAAAAATTTAAAATTAGTCTATTTTAATATTCACATCAAAATAAAATAAAATAAAATATAAGATAAAATATAAGATAAAACAAAACAAAACAAAACAAAAAATAAAAAATAAAATAAAATAAAATAAAATAAAATAAAATCCAATCTATATACTACTAAAATTCTCCTGTCTGTAACCTTTAACTGGACAAAACAGTGCTTCACAGGGCAACAATTTTCCAATCAAGGTACCTCAAATGGGCTAACTTAAGGAATGCAAGGAATCATGACTCCTGTGGGAATGAAATTTTGGAAAGCTGTTGCTGATTCAGCACCATTCTGCTGCTGCTGTTCAGTGCTGCTGCCGCATTGCTGCGTTCGGCCACAGTCATGTGATCCACAGTTCCAACATTCCCTGACAGCTTCCCAAAAGTCAACGGGAAAGCCGGAAGGAACTGATATGATTGCCAATGGTCCTTGCTACCTTACCACTAGTAAAATCTTTGCTTGTGGGAAGCTTGCAGGGAGAAAGTCAATGGAGAACCCGGCAGGGAAGGTCGCAAGTTGCTTGGGTCTCCCCAACCCATGCACTCTCCACCAATCCTTTTGTGCTCTCGCCATGCCGGTCAGCCACAGTCGCACGATCCTCTTTTTAACCTGTCCCTGACAGCTTCCCACAATTCAATGGGTCCCACACCCCCCCAGCCAGTCCCTCTGCACTTCCACTGCACCAGCCACTT